CAACATATTTTCCAAATCATCAGTGATTATACCATTTCCCGGAAACAAATAGCTAATAAGCTGAAATCCTAACAAGGTTGGCTGCAATAGCCTACTAAGATTTCTCTACTACAAAAGCAAAAGGTTGAGGTGATCTAAACAGTAGCTCAGTGGTAGAGGATTTCCCTAGTGTGCATAAAGTGTGGGTTTGATCCCCAGAACATAAAACAACAAGAACTTAGTGCATTTTTTAAATGAAGAAAGAAAAAGAGTCACCTATGCATTCCCTTCCCTTCCCTGGCACCTAAAACAGAATTGTGCTGAATGCAACACTCCTGACCCAGTAACCTGAAGTCTGGTTCAGTGAGGATCTGAATGTACTAGACACCTCAATCCGGCCGGGAAGGACAGCGCCGCAGCTGACTAGTGGCATCTGACTGTCCCCGGCTGGAGAGCTGGGGGCGGGGCTCGAGACCTCACTTCCGCATACAGAACATTCTGATCCTAAGACTTCCCAACTTGCCACTTCAGGAACTGCCAAAGTGACCAGGGGGCCGCCAGCTGTCTTTAGCAGACTTAGCAGTTCTGAAAACCAAAATGTTAACGGGACTCCAATCTATCAAAAGGGAGAGACCAAAAATTCACCAACTAGTTAAAAAATTACAAGCAGGAAACACTGTGTAAACAACAAGCGTGGCCTGCTTTGGACTCCTTGAAAGATACTATCGATATACGTATCTTAGATGTGGCCATGGATCAACTTTCTCTGACGTCAGCAATGCTCTTCCAAGTCTAGTGTCCGCAACGATCACCAACGAAGTAGGAAACTATCTTTGGAGATCAGGGATTTTCGAATGGAAAATGTGTGTTTTCAGAATCACTAGAGAGCTAATAAGGAATACACAGGCCCCAATCTTCTAAAGCCAGAAAAAGCCCAGACTACTTAGGTGCTTAAAAAAATCTAGCTGGATGTGGTGGTGCATGCCCATACTTCTAGCACTCTAGGAAGCAGAGGCAGGAGCATGCCAAGTAGTAGTAGCTCAGGGAGACCCTGTCTCAAAGGTACAAAGAAAAAAAGCCTAGATATGTTGCTTTTTAGAGATAAAAAATGCAAAGGGCCTGGGTTCAATCCCCAGTATCCACACACACACCAAAAAAACCAAAAAACCCAATACCACAGCCATACCTACTATGGATTAAATCATAAACACTGAGGATACACCCAGGAAAGAGGTTCAAGTTCAAAGCAAGAATGTCCATGATTTACTGTCAGCCTTGTAAGACATTTTCTTGGACTTTCAGGTAATGGTTGAAGACTATTCTAAAGCAGTTGGTTCTGGACAAGACTGTCACCAATGAGGAGGGAGGATTCAAAAGTATATGCAAGCCTGGTATGGGGATGCACACCTATAATCCCAGCATTCAGGGAGGCTGAGGCAGGACGATTGCAAATCTGAGCCCAGCCTGAGCAACTTGTGAGACCCTGTCTCAAAATAAAAAATCAAAAAAAAGGGCTGGGGATATAGCTCATTGTGAAGACCCTGAGTTCAGTCCCCCATACTGAAAAAAAAAAAAAAAAAAGTATGCACAGAAAGCAAATAATACAAAACAGAGAAACAAATCAGAGTCTAGAATAAAACAAATGAAACAAAAGCAAGTACGCAGTAATACACTTAGGAAGGCAGGGACTGGGAACGGGTAAAGCACATAAACACAAGTGGCAAACGGCTGGAAACACAGCAGGAAAGGATCAGAGATTACAGTCCTGAGGAGTTAACAATCAATAACAAAAACACATTTTGTTTGTTTACAGTACTAGGGACTGAACTCAGGACTTTGAGACAAGTACTGACATGGAGCTACAACACTAGCCCCTTTTATTTTACTTTATCTTGAGATTGGGTCTCACTAAATTGCCCAGGTTGGCCCTAAACTGGCCAATCTCCTGCCTCAGCTTCCCAAGTATGGTAGCTGGAATTATAGGTGTGTGGCACTATGCCCGGCAAAAAAAAAAAACAACAACCTACCAACCAACCAAAACAAAACAGCGCACTTTTCAAAGGCATGATCAACACAGCATGGTTCAGAATTATGTCTGGCCCTAGCCTCCACTTTACACAAAGGAAGCTCATATCAGAGTTGTAAAATTGGCTAACTATAAATAACGTTAAGAAGTGAAAAAAATATTGAAAGGCTTAATATTACAAACAACCACAGTGAGAAGCTACCCAGAAAAATACTTCATGTGTACATAGGGCAATTACAAAAAATCTTCTTCTTTTTTTTTTTGTTTTCTGGTACTGGGAATCGAACTCACGACCTTGTGCTTGCCAGGCAGGCACTGTGCTGCTGAGCTAAATCCCCAGCCCCTCCAAAAATCTTCAAGTAACAAAATTGAGGGTAATCTTGGCAAGAATTCTGTTTTTTTTTTTGTTTGTTTGTTTTGTTTTTTTTTCCGGTCTTTTTGAGACAGGGTCTCACTATGCAGTTCAGGCTGGCCTTGAGCTCACTTTGTAGCCCAGGCTGGTCTCAAACTTGCAATGATCCTCCTGCCTCAGCCTCCTGAGTTCTGGGATTACAGGCGTATGCCACCACGCCCGGCAAGAATTCTGGTTAGATTTGAGAAAGTAACTTCAGCACTAGCGTTATAGCCCCATTGTACTCGGCAGTACAATACTTGCCTCACATGCACAAGACCCTGGGTTCAATCCTCAGCTCCACAAAAAAGAGAGAAAAATGCTTCATCCCATACTAGGCCACCACAGACAGATTTAAGGCCTAAATAACTGTGAGGATTTCTAGTTTGCGAAGAGCAGTCATTCCTGAACAGGAGTGGAAGCAAATGCAAGAGGCAGGAGGGGAGCTGGGTTGCCTCCTGCCCTCCCATGAAACAGCCGCACCCCGGCAGAACGGAGCGGCAGGGCTTGCACTAGGTGGAGTCCAACAGCAGACAGGTAAAAGACAGGTTGGTTCCGAGGCTGGCGCTGCTCAGAGTCTTCTCTGAGCGTGGCCAGTCCCCTGGGCAGCTGCTGCTTTGAAATCCAGGTTGGTTCTGAAGAGTGAGGTGTCTCAGCTTTGGCTGGGCTGGCACAAGTGGCTGGGTCATTCTCTGTTGCAGGGACTGTCATGAAGAGGGTATAGAGCACCTCGGATCTGTACCCTGGCCGCCAGCACAACCTGGCCACAAACAATGCCTGCAGATGAATGCCTGGGTATGGGTGTCCCTACTGAACGGCAAGGAAATGGACCATGTACACTTTAATGTAAACATTAAAAAGAAAAACACTCAAGGGGTTACTGATAACCTCTGAAAGGGAAATGTTACGGTTTGTGTCTGGTTGTCCCCCAAAGCCTCATGCAGTCATGGGGTGGGCTTCTGGAGTTTATGATTGATCCATGGTCCAACACTGGGATTATGGGTGTGAATGCTACACCCTGGGGTGAGTGGTTTGCATACAATGTAAGGGAGAGAAAGAGGCTTGGTCTTCCCTCTGCTGCTCCTCCCTTTTGCTCTTGTTGCTTTTTCTATCTTCAGCCGCCATGAACTGTTGCCCTCTGCCATGTGCCACTCTGCCTCGGAGCCAGCCAAGTATGGACTGAAACCTCCACAGACTGAGAGTTAAATAAACCTTTCCTTCCTTAATTTTAGGCATTGGGTATTTTGTCTCAGCAAGAGAAAAGTAACCAAGACAGGAAATAATAAAGCACTAAAATAACATTAGAATTTATCTCTGGAAAAACTTTGTAAGTTCAAAAATTCTTAAATGGTTTTTAAGAAAAAGACAATTTTTAACTCTTTTTTGGGGGGAGGGGGAATCTTTTTGAGACAGGGTCTCGCTATGCAGTTCAGGCTGACCTTGAGCTCACTTTATAGCCCAGGCTGGTCTCAAACTCACAACAACCCTCCTGCCTCAGCCTCCCGAGTGCTGGGATTACAGGCATGCACCACCACACCTGGCCAATTTTTAACTCTTCCAGAAACTAAAAACCTAATTTAACAGTGCAGTGGTCTCTCTGTGGTTCTCACTTTGCTCTGTATTTTTAGTACAGCAGCATTTAATGGGACCTTCTGTACATGATGCTTCCTCCATTAAGCAAAGTAAATGTCAGCCTCAAAATATTAGTTTACATTTTGTAAATGAGCATGTACATGTCTGCATATAATTGCTCGAGAGAAGCAAACTAAATTTTCCTCTTGAAACATCTGACAGCGGCAGCAGCAGTAAAAGCCGGCCTTGCTGGCTTTGGTCAGCAGTCACTCGCTGACACAAGTGATTCTGGCCACTAGAGGGAGCTCCGGATAACACACTGTTCCCTAAGCAAACACAAGCACAAGGCTGAACATAGGAAAGTGAGAGAAACGCCTGTGTGTGTGTGGAGCGTGTGTGCAGACAATGCCAGGCGGGGTAGGGCACCGGGAAGGGAAATAATAAAACTCCAGAGCTAAACCTGCCTCTAAGCCACCGTAATCAGTGTTTGAAGGAGAAAGAAAAAACTGATCGTGTTTCAAAGAGCTCCTTTTCCCCGTGCAAAATAAATCAAAAGGTAATATCCTACAGGTAGTCTAAAAGAGAAAATCCCCATCTTTTTATAAAAGTCATTAAGATTGCTCAGAATCTTAGTACAAATAGTTTATTTCCTTACAGGCCAGGGCTACTTGGTTTTGTTCACCACATCTGCACTACTGTCTGCCTCTGGAATTAACTGCTGGCCAAGTACATAACAAGAAACAGTAACATTATTGGAAAGTCCAAGTTACTCTTTAAAAGTTCATTAAATTAATGCTCAGAAGAGCTGCAGCTTACGTTTTTAAGGCAGCTGTGAAGGAGATTAACTCAGGCATTAGCTATCAAGTGGTTCTCAGGATCAGGATAAGTCAGTCTCCTTTATTTTTCGGTCTGTTGAGGCAGGGTCTCGCTTTGCTGGCCAGGCAGGCCTCCAACTCCCGATCCTCCTTTCTCAGCCTGGCCTAGCACCCTGATTACAGGCACACCCCACGCAGTTTCTTTACTTTCAAAGCAGTCTTGTAATTACGAAGGTTCGTGGTAGAAATTTTAGGAAATGTAAACAAGCTTAGAAAAGACAAATTTTAAATCACCTCTAACCTCACTATCCATGTGTGTATGTTTCTGCTTTTTTTTTTTCCTTCTGTTTTTCTTCTGGTACCAGGAATCAAACTCACGACCTTGCACTTGCCAGGCAGGCGCTGTGCCGCTGAGCTAAATCCCCAGCTCCTGTTTCCGCTTTTTAAAATGCATACAGTAATCTATATTTTCTACTCTATAAAAGCTGAATTTTCAGGGCTTTGAGGAGGCTCAGTGGTGGGGCGCTCACCCAGCACCTGCACCAGCTGTAGGCGCAGTCCCTTCGCCTCCTCCCCAAAATTTAAAAGTTGTATCTTTTTATCTATTTTCACTTCACATCTCTTTACATAAGTATATATACATTTATATACGTTTAAGTACATGTATACATAAAGTGTTAAAGTGGATACCTATATTTCCTTGTATGTATTATACTATAATTTACTTAAACTTTAAATAAATTTTAAAACCCCCTACTAGGGGGCTGGGGATTTAGCTCAGCGGCACAGCACCTGCCTGGCAAGCGCAAGGCCATGAGTTCGATTCCTGGTACTGGGAAAAAAACAACAACAACAACAACAAAAAACCCTACTGTTAGTATTTAGGTTATTTCCAATTGCTCACGGTGAAAACCCCTTTAAAGGGCTCCACTTTTCCTAGCTGGTGATACCACAAAAGCAGCTTTGACACATACACCACCCCCCAAAAAAACCCAAGGATAACAAGTTCAAGGCCAGTGTGGGCTACATAGTGAGTTCAAAGCCAGCCTGAATTATAGGGCAAGACCCAATACTGGTAAAAACCCAATGATAAAAAAAAAAAAATGATAAAACACCAACTATAGTGCTGGGTGTGGTGGCGCATGCCTGTAGTCCCAGCACTCAGGAGGCTGAGGCAGGAGGATGAGGATCGTTTTGAGTTCTGTGGCCAGCTTGGGCTACAAAGTGAGCTCAAGGCCAGCCTGAACTCCATAGTGAGATTCTGTCTCAAAAAGACAAAAACAAAAAACACACAAAAAAAGCCCTACCAACTATACAAGCCAGAGAAAATTCAGAATTGATCCTGACTTGTGCTCCTCCACTGCAGGAACCCAGCTCCAACTTGGTCTACATCCTCTGTCAGGCATCTGCGTGTCACTCACACAAAACCCTCCGCTTCTTTCTGCTTCTCTCCTGGGCGACTTTCCCATTCTTAGCTGAGTGTACATCCTGAGTGTGTAGGTGGGCGGGGGATGCACCCCCCTCCCAGTCCCCAACTGGTATTTCAAAAACACATGGGCCTTTATTTTGACAATTAAATTCCTGTTACTGCAGAAACTGTGTCCAACTGTACTTCCAGTGCTGGAAGCAGTCCTGATGATCAAAACAGCGCATGTTTTCTCTCTGCCCCACAGAGCGGGTGTCACAAGGGTTAAGGGCTTAATTCGTTATTATCTTCCCCATCCACATTCATCACAAGACACCCTGCCCAGGAAAGCAAGAATGAGAGGTTATTGTTAAGACAGAATGAATGAGACAATGTGACTTCTGTTCTTCTGACCTGCCAGTGTGGCCGAGGCAGGGGCACTGGGACCGGGGAGGGCCCCAGCGAGCCTCCACCAGTCCGTGCAGCTGCCACCTTGTGCTGTGAAAACCGAACTTGGCCCGGGGCCTTGGGGCCCCTATTCCTGGCCCTCGGGAACACCAGGGGGACTGGAGGAACGCAAGCCAAGAGAACGGGCTGGCCCGCGGGCCTCCTGGATTCCGTTCCTGGCTCTCCTTTCCTATCCCCAGTATCCCTAAGACTGGAGTCATGATCAGTTTTTTCTTCCTTAAGATGTAAATTATGATGAGCGTCTGCGAATGAGGGGCCATTCTGCAAACACCATCTGCAAACACCATCTGACAGGAAGACAGTCAGTCGCTTAGGTCTAGTCACCAGAAGTTAATGAAAACTCTGGGCCATGACACCGGTGCACTAGGACAGTACCCCACGCCGCAGACCCGGAGGAGGCGCGTCTGAGGAGGTGTTCGTGGAGGGCAAAGGCGATTCTGCCCACTGAGTTGCCTATGCTTCCCCACAGCAGCCACGCAAATGCATCCTGTACTTCCCAGGGAAGTCGTCTCTCTCAGAGTTGGCGCTAAACACTCTTCTCAAAGATCAGAGCCAAGAGCCAAAAGAAAAAGGGCACAGGAGGAACCGGAATCCTTCCTTGGGGGTTCAAAGGCTTGCTCCTCCCACCAGCTTACAACAGGCATTTAAGTGGAGGAGTTTCAGGAAGCTGCGGGCGGGCAAGAGAAGGGCACGGGCTTCTTGGTAGCAGTTTTTTTTTTTTTAAATCACAACAAACGAAAGGAACCCCAAAGTCAGGATGCAATCCCAGACGGCGCCCCCGATGCCCCGCCACACTCACTCTGCCGCCACTGTCTGGGGGATAGGCTCGTCGAGGAGCTCCAGGCTGTGCAGGATCCAGTAGCAGAGCCACGGGCGGCTGGCATCCAGACACTGGGGAGGATGAGAAGAAAACACACCCCTTATTCACAGTCTCCCCAAGACGCCGCTGACAAGGCTGGAGCCGTCTCACTCCCTGTAGCCTGGCACGGGGAGGAGGGAGCCCTGACTTGGTGAACGAGGGGTGCTTCACTCTGTGGCCCTAGCCAGGACTGCAATGACCATCTGGGAGAAAAGAGAAATGAGATTTAAAAACAAAGTTCACTTTAGACCCGTAAGTCCCTGCCCAGCAGACCTCTGAGGAGGGCTGAGCACAGGACACTTGCACGTCAGGCAGTCACAGGCGGGCCTCTTCCTGGAACAGACCCCAGGAATCTCTGCAGTCTCAAAGAGAGCTCATGGATTAACTCGTTCTCAGATCCAATGAACATGTGGTGACTACTTGTGCCAAGCACTGTCACAGACACTTGGGGCAGATAATGAAAAGGAATTTGATTTTGATTCTGGAAGTGTTCGGGGTACAGAATATGTCTTTTTTTTTTTGGTACCGGGAATTGAACTCAGAACCTTGCACTTGCCAGGCAGGCGCTTATGCTACTGAGCTATATCCCCAGCCCAGAATATGTCATCTTAAAAGAAAAGGGCTTTGGACAGCCACACTGAGTACAAGTTACCCTGTGTCTTTCGGAACACAGCACACGAGCACATGTTCCTGGACAAATGCTGGAAAGTCTTGAGTGAGAACATGGAAGACTCATTCTGCCTGGGGAGCTGGCAACGGCTTCCAAAGGTGACACACAGACTGACCTCAATCCTAACTCCAGGCCCACACGGCTCCTGAGATTCAAGGCGAGGCTGGGCAGGCAGCCGCAGGAGTGCTCCAGTTATATAATGACGTCCAGGGAAATTTTTTCCAGATTATAAAAAAACTAAGTGTCACAGCTGAGACAAGAATGTAGGTTTTTAGACTTTTCATCCAGCGCCATTTCATCAGCCCAAACTGCTGCCCTGCGTTGGTGGTATGGTGGTGAGTAGAGCTGCCTTCCATCCAGACTGCTGCCCTCTTCCAGAATGAGCTGACAGTCCAAGCCGTGGTTAATGCTCGCCTGGGGGCCGGGTTGGTGCGCCACTGAAGACATGCTGAGCCTTTGGGCTAAGTGTGGATCACAGTTCCTCTTCCCACCAGCCATGTGCCTTTGAGCAAATTGCCTTACCTATGCCTGTTTCCTTCCCCATAAAAAACAAAGATGGCCCTAACTCATGGCGTAACTACAGGGTTAGAGGAGAGAACGCAAGGTAAGATTTTACCACCCTGCTCAACAGCCTGCTAGCTGCTATGGCATTACCTGTATCAAGCTGATGGGATCCGCTGCGGTTTGTATCTGAAATGTGCCTCAAAAGTCTCCTGTGTTCCAAGATGGGGTTTATGAAAATGACTGGATCATGAGGTCACTAACCTCACCAGTGAATCAGTCCATTGATGAGTACGCAGCTGAATGGGATATTAGGAGGTGGGGCCCAGCTGGAAGAGGTGGGTCACTGGGGGCGAGGCCAACGGCCGCTCCCTTCCTCTGTACTTCCTGGCTGCCACAAGCTGAGCAGCACTCCTCAGCCATTCCATTCTGCCTTGGGTCCAGCGGACCATGGACGAGGCCTCTGAAGCCATGAGCCAAAAGAAACCTCTTTTTCTTGAAGTTGTGTATATTAGGATTTAGTCCTAGCAATGGAAAGATGACTGACACAGGACACTAACCAATGAGGATGTGACTGGGGGATTGAAAATGAAACCTGATAGCCCATAGGCCAAATCCAGCCCATGATGTGTTGTGCGCTTTTTTGGTTTTTCTGAGTCAGGGTTTCACTATGCAGTTCCAGCTGGCCTTAAACTCACTTTGTAGCCCAGGCTGGCCTCGAACGCACAGCGATCATCCTACCTCAGCCTCCCGAGTGCTGGGATTACAGGTGTGCGCTACCACACCCCGCTGCTGGTTTGTTTAATTGGAGTTGGTTTCAACATTGACATCCACTCAAATTTGAGCTAACAGTGTTAAATACAAGGGGTGCTCTCTGAGGTTCACGTTCTGGTCCTCTGGCTACGAAGGAACTAGCTCAGCTCAAGGCAACAGGATGGGCCTGACTAGATAACAGATGTATAGCTATAAAAGGGGTCAGGAGAAAGGAGGAAGGGGTCAGGAGAAGAAAGGCTTCTTTTGGTTCATGGCTTCATGTGAAACCTTTAGCCGTGATTGCACGGTGGAGGAAAGCCTGACCCCATCAAAGGGCCCCACTCACTCTAAGAGAAGACAAGACTGGAGCAGGTTGGCTCTGCCCCGTCAGCAGTGGTGTCCCAGCCATGTGGCGGGGCACCCTGGTTCCAGCCAGAGCCACACGGCGTGTGTGAATCTGCAGCAAGGGGGGCCCAACAGCACTCTCCATTCAAATGGGGGGTGGTGTGAAAAAAGAAGACGTGGTAAAGAGCTTGACAGAGGGCATTCCTGGGAAACATATTTACCTCGTAGGCATCAGTCAACTGTCGAAGGCCTCTTTTCAGATAATGGAAGTGCTTCTCCCTCTGCAAAATAAGCCTGCAGAGACAGAGAGCCTGTAAGCCCGTTGTAGTAGCTCGTGGTTTCTCTTCACCCAGGCACACACATGCACGCGCGCACATACACACACACACTGCACACACGTATACATGCATGCGCAGCGCCAAATGAATCCCCGACAACTTCTGCAGCTCCAGAGGGCAACCGCATCAGAAAAGGGGCCTGCATGGGAAAGTCTCTGAGGTGCATGAAGTCGGTGCCGGCAGACGCTCTGACGCTGAGCTCACTGAAACCCGGCACCAAGCACACCTTGCCAGGTGGTGACGGTCCCCTAGGAAGCTCCGTGAACATCCAAACAAGATGGCTGCCCCGTGCCTCTGCATCCTGTGAGCACGTGGTTAGCCGCTGCCCCTTCAGTCCTTTCCTCTGGAATCGCTCGGCTGAGATCCACACTTGTTCCCCGCCTGCCCCTCAGTTACTCATCCATCATTCCCTCCTGAAATTCCACTCCCACGTGCTGACCCATAGCCCTGGCCAGGACAGCGCTTGCCTTCTGCAGCCAGCCACCTCCTGGGCCCTGAGGTCAGCAGTGCTGGCTTTGGGACAGAACGTGCCACCCACGACCACGTGCACTGGCAGACAGAGGTGCTGCTTCATGCTTGGTGTCGCAGAGCGGGCCTGTGTGATCATGGAAGGAAGAAAAAGCGGAAGAGCATTCAGACGTCCACGGTGCTTGCTGACTACAGAGATGAAAGGGAAATGAACCACGCCCTGTTCTAGGTAGGCAACTCAATCATTACTTATAGAATTCCCACTGCTCAAAAAAAGGCCCTCCCTGAGCGTGGTGGTGCACGCCGGTAATACCAGCACATGGGAGGCTGAGGCAGGAGGACCGCTGTGAGTTCAAGGCCAGCCCTGGCTACAAAGTGAGCTCAAGGCTGGCCTGAACTGCATAGTGAGACTCTGTCTCAAAAAGAAAGAACGAAGGCCATCATGCAGTCTCCGCCTCAGACTCCCCTCATTCAGTAATGGAAACGAGATACGAACATAAAAGGCTGTAAAACAAGGGAAGAAATGAACAGGTTTCAGAAAGATGAAAAGCAAAACGGTACTGAGGTTCAAAGAGGAGGGGTAATCTTAAGAAAAGAATGATGGGCAAAATTTGTACGGAAGAGGCAGAATTTGAGGCCGGTGGCCCTGGCAGAGGAGAAAATTTTAACTGTACTTACAGCCTAAGCTGCAGGTAGCGGCCGGGGAGTGCAGAGTGCAGCCCGGCGTCACGTGTCCCGGGGGACTGCGGGCGGAGGGCTCTCCAGCCTCACGTTGGCGGGGATGAACGGGGAAACACAGAAAAGGCAGCAGTGGAGGCCTTTCTACAGGGCTCTGGGATGCAAGCTGAGGAATTCCCACTCAATCTAGTAGGCAAAGGGGCGCCGGAAGGTTTTTGAGCCAAGAGAAAAATGACCAGAATCGTGCTTTGGAGAAAGAATCCGCTAGCCGCGGCCCTGGCGCGCGTTTCCTAATCGAGTGAGGGGGAAGCACTGTGGCGAGTGGGGAGCTACACACAGCAACCAGGGGCAAGCGCGGGGCCCAAACTGGCCCGGGCACCGTGGGGAACTCGCTGCGGGACGTGCGGATTAAGACGCTGCGGGCAGTCCGAACCACACGCGCTAGGCGGGTGTCGGGAGGCGACTGCGCGGACCGCCGCAAGGGATCAGCGCCTCTCTCACCGCTGGGTTTGCCCTTGAGAGCGAGCTGTTCTAAAGCGAGGCTGCCCCGAGTGTGTGTGCATGCCGAGTGTGTGTGCATGCCGAGTGTGTGTGCATGCCGGGGGCTGCTTGCCCTTCTGCCCTCCACCCTGAGGTCGAGCAGCACGGGGCCCTCACCGGAAGTGAGGCGGGAGCGGCCACCGCGCTCTTGGGCTTCCCAGCCACCAGACCCAGAGCCGTAATAAACCTCTTTGCTCAGTGAATTTCCCGGTCTCGGGCACTCTGTGATAACGGAAAATGGGCTAAGATGACATGTCCCTGTCCTGAGGGACCCAGATTAAATGCACAGACTGGGGCGCTCGTCTGCACGCAGGTGATGGTCAAAGCTGCAGGAGAGAGAGAACAGACTGGTAAGACTGAACCCAGAACTGTCAGCAGACGGATCTCTAAGGACTTGGAGGAGGACGAGGAGTCCCTGTAGCAACAGGGAAGGCGAAGCAGTGTCCGCCACGGGCGCTCAGGAAGCAGTGCTTAACTGTGGCGGATGCTGCAGAGACTGAGGAGAGACACAGCGGCTGGCCACCTTGAGAGCCCGCGGAGCGGGCACACTGTGAAGGACGGGAGGCCAGACGCACTTTCTCTTCCTGAGGGTCCAGCAGCCAGGCCGCGGTAAATGCCCGTCCTGTGCGGGCAGCAGCCGGCGCCGGATGGGGCCCAGCGGTGGACACACGCAAGTAAATGGCAAGCAGAGCCCTGTGGTCCGCGCAGCGCAGCAGGCCGTGCCGGCCCACAGGAAGGCACAGCAGGTCAGAGAAGCCCTGCCTGCGAGAACAGGATGGAGGCTCAGGCCTGAGGACAGGAGCTAGCCGGGCAAGAGAGAGGAGACCGCAGCACAATCAAGTCCATTTAGTTCAGAAGCTGGAGCAAAAGTACCAGGGAGTGGGAGAGAGAAGCCGGACTGCAGAGACACGAAGGTGGTAGATCGTGCAGGATTTGGAAGTGCATTGAGCCGCCTGGCTTTGCACCTAAGAGCAAGCAGGAGTCCCTGCGCTGCAGCGTGGACGACCCCTGAGAACACGCTAAGCAAAAGACGCCAGTCACGAAGAAGTGTGGACAATTCCGCTTACAGAAGTGCCCAGGATGGAAAGTCCTTAGACACAGAAGGTATGAGCACAGGTTCCAGGGGGGGCGGGCTGCACAGCAGCTGGCAGACAGAGAGGGCAGTGCGGGCTAAAGGGTACGGTTTTTCTTTCGGGGTTGAAGAAAATGTTCTAACATTAACTGTGGTGATGGCTGGACCACTCTGATTACAATAAAAACCAATGATTGTATACTTTATTTATTTATTTTGTCTTTTTGAGACAGGATCTCGCTATGTAGTTCGGGCTGGCCTTGAGCTCACTTTGTAGCCCAGGCTGGTCTCAAACTCACAACGATCTTCCTGCCTCAGCCTCCCAAGTGCTGGGATTACAGGCATGTGCCACCACACCTGGCTGAATCATATGTACTTTAAATGACTGAATAATATATGAACTGTCTCATTGAAAGCGTCATTAAAAAAACAGGCAAATAATTTTTTGAGGGAGTTAGTGCAGTATTCCAGGTAGCAGGAGTTGACTCTGGCAGTGGGAGCAGTGTTACACCCCGGGACAAGAATGAAGGGTGAGAGCACAAAGCGAGTGGGACCTCGGCAGGCCGGGCGTGGGGGTCACTGACTGCTCAGGGGAGCTCCTCGAGATGGGCAAGAGGATCACAGCGCTGGAGGCGGCGTGCGGGGAGCTGCGCGGTACACGGAGGCTGTGTGCTCTAAACCCCGGGCACAGCCATCATGGGCCCTGTGTGGTGAGTTTTTCAATGACCTTCCTGAGGTTTTTTTTAGCAGGAACAGTGAAGTGATGCTGTGGGAAGGACTGGCAAAATGGAACTGCAGAGCAGGGCGTGGTGGCGCACACCTATAATCCCAGCACTCGGGAGGCTGAGGCAGGAGGATCCTTACAAGTTCAAGGCCAGCCTGGACTACGTAGTGAGGCCCTGTCTCAAAATAAATACATTTTTTAAAAAAGATGGGAAGAGCAAGAGAGTTGAGGAGGGAGGGCATGGACAGAGGTAAAAAGAGCTGCAGCAGCTCAGGACACATGCAGGCCAGGCCGAGCAACACTTACTCCAGATGGAGTTACTTAAAGATTAACTTCAACCACGACTGGGGAAGAGAAATTCCTTCCAGTGACTGTTCCCATAATAGAAACTTCTCCCTGTCCTCATTTAATATCCTTCCCTCCCTCCCTTCTTTTCCCTCCCTCCCTTTTCCTCCCTCCCTCCCTCCCCCTTCCCCTCTCCCTCTCCCTCTCTCTCTCTCTCACGCAGTTTATCATTCTTTTACATTGAAGGGATACATCCAGTTTCTTTGGGCCAGGCAGGAATTATAGAAAGAACCTTAGAATAATCTCTCCCAGAACCTAACACCCAACATGATTAGGGCCCTTCCAGAGGGTTTCTTATTTTTGTTTTTAGTCTTTTTAAGGAAGAGCCTCTCTATGTGGTTCTGACCAGCCTTGAACTTGCGGTGATCCTGCCTCAGCCTCCTGAGTGTAAATATGTACCACTCAGCCCAGTTTAAAGAGGTGTTTAATGTTAAGGGAGGTCATAAGGGTAGGGCTGCAGCCCAAAAAGACCAGTGTGATTATGAGGAGGAGACACCAGAGAGGCACAACAAAGAGAGAGAAAGAGAGAGAGACAGAGACAGAGAGAGAGGAAGGCGGCCATCTGCACACCCAGAGACAGCCTAGGAGAAACCAATCCTTGGGGGAGATTTCCAGCCTCTGGAACTGCGGGGAAGTAAGTTTCGAGCACTCAGTATTTGTTGGGTGGCCCAAGCTCACCACTGTCCTAGCACTGCCTTATTTTGGTTCACCTCCATCCAAACATCCCTTCTGTGAGGGAAGTTAAAGCGAGAGCTCTTCGCCCTTTTCCCTGAACAGTTCAGTCTCCAAACCAATCAGGCAGGCTCTGCGGCAGGTGCGTGTGTGTGTCTGTGCACGTGTGCGTGTACACAAGGAGTCAGAGCACAGGTGGATGAGAAGGGAACCGTGCTGTCGGGGGTGGGGTGGGATGCTGTGTCCCTTAGGGGAAGGATCGCGTAGGTAGACAGATCCAGGCTACCGGAGGCATACACAAAGGCACGCGCTTGATGGTGAGGTGCCTGCATTTCTCCTAGGGCCGACACCAGGCTTCTGGACCCTCCACAGTGGGCCTCCCCCTTTTCCCTCCTACCTCCGCTCAGCTCTCCCTGAGCTCCATGCACACGGGGCTCCCTCAGGCTCTGTCCCGGCATGCTGTCCCCTCTGTCTGGGACACGCGACCGCCCTTAACTTAGCAACCCTCCTCACCTCAGGGTCTCAATTAAATGTGCCTTTCCTTGAGAGATGGCCCTGACCCCCAGTCTCAGCTAGATCCTCCCTGTGACTCGTGTTGGTCAAGTGCGTCCCTGTTCATCTCTTACCGCCACCTCCCCGCAAGACCAGGGGCCCGGGCGGGGCAGGACCCGAGCCAGCCGTGCCCACACCCGCTGCCCAAGCCCAGCACAGGGCCTGGGCCTCTGCAGATCCTCTCATAGGGCTGGAGAACGAGCAGAAAGAGGGAAGATTTCTAGGGGCACAGCAGGGTCGGGTGAGAGCAAACACCTTTGCTCCAACCCAGCACCTCGGTTGGCTGTGACAGACAAGACGACAGGGAATTCCGTCCACCATTGGCTCCCGGGAACTTTCTAAGCCACTAAGGCAGGAGCCTCAGTCAAAAGCAAACGTCAGACACATAATAAACTACGTGAGGAAAGGTGGCTTTGTCTGTAAGGGGCGTGAGAACACCAGCAGGAAGGGGTGCGCTTCCTAACTGATCAAGATGTGGAAGATTCTAAAATAGCTTTGTACACAGGAGCTGCAGGAGACAGACCAGGCCGGTGCCAGGCGAGAAGCTTCAAGAGCCCGAACTGGAGCACATGGAACCTCTGGGTGCTTTCAGCTCAGGGACCCTGCACTTCTCACTTCCAAGAAGCACTGGGTCATCTGTGCCCAAGAGAAAACCATTTAAAAGTATATGTGAGAGAGAGTGGGGGGGCTATGCATTTAAGATTTAAAGCTAATGACATAAGTGGAAAAAGGCAAACTCATAAGGTGTAGACCAACAAGAATACCCACAGCAAAGAAAAAATTAACTCTCATGCTTGTAAGAGCTGACAAACAAGGCTCTTAAAAGAATGACCAAAAAGCTCCATAGCCAGGCATGGCGGTGCACGCCTGTAATCCCAGCACTCGGGAGGCTGAGGCAAGAGGATCATTGTGAGTTCGAGACCAGCCTGGGCTACAAAGTGAGCTCAAGGCCAGCCTGAACTGCATAGTGAGACCCTATATCAAAAAGACAAAAAAAGAAAAAAGAAAAGTATGCTGAATAAGCTCCCCAGCGGTGGGAGTGCAGCTCGGTGGCAGAGCGCTCCGCAGGCTGAGTAGGACGCCTGCTTCACCGTCACTGCACCATCCTGGACCTGCGCGTGGTCGGGGCCCTGGCAGTGCATGTGAGTCTGTCACACCCAACTGGCACCAGTGACTTCAGAACACTGACTGGCCACGTGCTCTAGATTTACCGCTAATATGTGAATGTGCGATTTAGCTAACAGTGGAGGTTTGCTCCCGCATTACATATGGTCAGACTTTAAATTTTGACTACTAAAATGTTAAAACATGAAATTTATGATAGTAACTTGAAATTCTGATGCATTCTCAGATTTACTCCTTTTTGTTTGTTTACAGTGCGGGAAATCAAAGCCAGGACCGTGTCCTTGCTGTGCGAGCATCATAGCGCTGAGCCCCAGGGCCCACATTTATGCAGGTATCCTAGAAGTTCATTCTATGATGGTGATGTTTGGCTTCAGCCTTACATTAATGTGCTGATTTATATATACAGCGATTCAGCCAAAATACACAGTATCTCTAATTTATTTATTTGGTGCTGGAGATTGAACCCAGGGTTTCACACCAAACTACATTCCTAGACACCACCCCCAAGCTTTTTTTAATTTTGTTGTTGTTTAAGACAGAATCTCACTAGCTGCTAAATTGCCCAGGCTGGTCTTGAACTTGTGATCCTCCTGTCTCAGCTTCCCAGAGTGCTGGGATTACAGGCATGTGGCACACACCTGCTTATGTCACTCATTAATTAGCATTTTAAAACACTCATTTGCATAGGCATAAAATGGGAAAAGATAAAATGGGACACTGTCATATTCCTGAAGCAAACCCAGAACCCTGACATATTCTCCTTCCACAAGGATGCATGCCCAAAGGAGCGCTTTTGTTTTCCACCCACACCTGACAGCTGACCTATGAATCAGGGGATTTTTCTCCTTTATCATTCCCTGTGCCCATAACAACACCTTCTTCCCCCAGGCTGCAGACTCTCCGTCTGTCTCTCGTTTGAGCGAAGGAGTCAGAGGGCTTTATTCTGACGGTGAGTGAAAAAGAAAATGCCAAACGATCAAAGGTCCGTCGCGTGGGAAGCGCAGAGGTAACGTGTCCACCAAGGCCCAGGCAGGCCACAGTGACTCAGAGCCTGTCGGGGTGAGTCATCTGGGGCTCTAACTGCCAACAGCAAAGCCCCCCAAACAATCACGCCCTCACCGTCGCCAAGGCTCACCAGCTCCAGCGAAGCTAAGCACACACAGCCTGTGCCCAGCGGCGGAGGAACCCAGGACACCCTTATATCTAAGAGCGCTCACTCCCACCAGCTGCTGAAGCAAACGGCGTCATTTGCTCATCTCCTGCTGTGGCTCATGACCAGAGGAAAAATTCGTCTTCCCGAGTCTGAGTTTTGGGTTAAGGCAGAGGTTTCGTCTAGAATGCTGGCAAATGACTCTAGCTGGTTGATATTTACCTCCTTTCCTTCCCAAGGGAAGGAAGACGAAGTAAACCTCCCCAACTCTCTTTCCCTATATGCAGTCACCTTTTCTACCTGTTCTCAGTCGTGACTGATTAGGAAAACACAACAAAAACTTTAAGAAAATGGTGGCAAAATAGAACAATGGCCAAAAAAGGCACAAAGGCAGCGAGCTGGAGCCACGGACAATGTTCCACAAGCAGAGGGGCCAGAGACTCAGACATGGCCTGAAGAGCTCAGGAGACTGCTGAAGGAGGTGAGGAAGGACGTGAGACCTGCAGCTCCCCAGCTGTAGTGAATCAGCTGGGCCTCACCATGCTTCGGAAATTGTCAAAGAAAAGCTTCTGTCATTAAGATAAGATGATGACCACCCACGGTTCTGGGATAATGATCAACTGATGGCTGCACGTACCACGCAGGATGGCCTTAGAGAAATATTCTGACTGGAAGAGAAATAATTACCAAGGGATGAAACAACTGTATGACCTTCAAGTGTGATACATTACAAAATACCAGGGAGCCGGGCATGGTGGTGCATGCCTGTAATCCCAGCACTCGGGAGGCTGAGGCAGGAGGATCGTTGCGAGTTCGAGACCAGCCTGGGCTACAAAGTGAGCTCAAGGCCAGCCCGAACTGCATATTGAGACCCTGTCTCAAAAAGACAAAAAACAAACAAACAAAATACTGGGGAAAAGGAAAAATAAATGTTCAAAGTAAAAAATTTCTCCTGGGCTTAGAGATGTACTCTGGTTGAACATTTGCCTCACATGGCTCAGGGGTAAGGCCCCAGCTCCAAAAAATGAAGTTTTTTTTCCTTCTTCTAATTCCCTTTCTAGAATTTCTGACCCCACAGATTGAAGACTTCAATTTGCTAAGCTCCAAAAAGCACTGCATTTCTCATCTGGAATTCCGTCTTTGGGATCTGCTGTACAAATCCCAACCAGGGCCAGGCTGACGAAGCTCACATTTCTCAGTTTTCCGTCAAATGATTCAGGGCGGGGTGCAGCTCAGGGGTAAGGCCCTGGGTTCAATTCCCAGCACTGCAGAATAATAAAAATTTACAATAAAGGAATCTATCCCTTGCCACCCCCCCAGACTCTGTTTTAAAATGCAATATAAACAAAGAGAAGCTTGAGTATTCATGTGAACACCAAAGCAGAAGGCCACACTTAATTAAAAACCTGAATTCCTCCCGCCCCTTCAAACCTCACAGGTCAGCCTTGAGGGTGTCCCCACCCAACAGCTGGCGCTCAGACAGTGGAGCACCTCCTCCCAAGCGCGCCAGCGAGGCAGGAGGCGGGGCCACACGCAAACCCAGGCAGCACAGGGTGAGGAAACACCCGTCTGCAGCAGACGCTCCTCATGGCCAGACAGACACAAGGTGGACAGACAAGAGCTGCCCCCATGGGAGGCGTCCTCCCGGGCCCTTCACACTCCCACCCGCAGCTTACCTCGGGACAAGGTGGTTGAACTTGTAACAGTTGAAGATTTCCTGGATCTTTTCTTCTACTTTGGCCTGGTAAGGATAGAGGACATGGGAGAGAGAAAACAAAGAGAAATGAGACCACTGCTGACTTTTTCTTCATGTTGCTCCAAATGCCTGTTAGGGGGAGTAGCTCAGTGTAGCGGTGTCCTGCACAGTACTTAAGGCTGAATTCAAAGGATCTACAGGATGACAGCCTCCACAGGCTTAGGAGGGGTGGGGGACGCGAACGAATGGGTCCTCTGTGCCCTGCTCACCTTACACTGACTCCTGTAGTCACCCACCCCACGACATCCACACTGTAACACTGGCTGCCCTTCCTGAGTCATCCTCTAAAGAAAAACCACATCTAAATGATTAAGATGTTGCTACATGACCTTTCTTTCAATTAACACACCAAGAAATTCTGGCAACTTTCGTATAACATCAGAATGTGTAATGTCCCTCCTTGCTTATTCTTTAATTATGTACATCAACGAACACAAGGCATGTAATTTGCTATGATGTTTAAGTCGGAGAAAAATAATATGTTTGTTGAAAGAATTAGAGGAATTAACCCCAGGAGATCAAGGTAGGTTGAATGTTTAGGCCTGCAGGTCAAAAAATAAATAAAGGGCAGGGATATAGCTCAGTGGCACAAGTGCCTGCCTGGCAAGCACAAGGTCCTGAGTTCAATCCCTGGTACCAAAATAAATAAATAAAATAAAAAAGGAGACACATGCTTTACACAACAAAGACCTTGCTCAGCACACAGACTTCCTAGCCATTGCCCGGCACCTCCCTTTCAAGTACCTAAATTTCCTAAGATGGCCCTTTTTTAGGTGGAGGGAATGACAACTCCTTTCCATCTTCTCAGGGTGCCAACCAACCTTGACAAATCTACTTTCTTTCCCAGCCCTCTTTTCTCAGGTATTGGCTTTAAAGTGGTGAGCAGAAGGGCTTCAGTCCAGGAAGGAAATGAATGGCAGTTTTTGTTTTTGTTTTTGTTTTTAATTGGTTCCCTGGCACCCGGCACTCAGAGAACAGATGGAGATAGATACCTTTGCTTCTGAGAGACCAGAATCTGCCACCCCAAAATATGCCTCAGTGGTATAAGGATTAGTGTGAACTGATTACTTTGATGAATTGCTGATCACAGGAAACCTCTGAAAAACAAAGGTTACCCTTTTGTAAAGGAAATTCACATTTATAAAGGAAACCTCAATCTATAAGGGTGTCCCCTTGCTATACCAAGAAGAGAAAGAAAACTAAATCACAAGAAACTCTAATCAGTAGAGAAGGCACATAGGGGCTGGGGATTTAGCTCAGCGGCAAAAGCGCCTGCCTGGCAAGCACAAGGTTGTGAGTTCGGTTCCCGGTACCAGAAAAAAAAAAAAAAAAGAGAAGGCAAATAATTAAATTATGTAACAAAACTTCTTTACTTTTCCTGGTCATCTCCCCATAACTGACCTCCCACACACCCTTTGTTTTTAGTATGTATACAGTATGAGCTGGTATTCTGTTTAGTTTCTTTTTTTTTGAGACAGGGTCTCAGATGTAGTTCAGGCTGACCTGGAATTCACTATATAGCCCACGCTGATCTCCTGGATGCTGGGATTACAGGCATATGCTGGTTTTTTTTGTTTGTTTGTTTTTTTGAGACAGGGTCTCACTTTGTAGCCCAGGCTGGCCTTGAACTCACAGCACTCTTCCTGACTCAGCCTGCTTAAACTGGCATTCTGGGCCACCTCTTTTGGAGTTACTCATTTTTCCATGGGTATCTCCCATGTTTACATGACATATGTATGTTAAAACATGTCTTTTTCTTTCTTTTGATGATCCATCTTTTGTTACAGGGGTCCCAGACAAGCAAGAATTTAGGACAGTAGAAGAAAATGATTCTTTTCCTCCCCTGCACTTGAAAGTATGTTTTTATTTTGTTGCAGTGCTGGGAACTGGACCAAGGGCCTCACCCAGGGTAGGTGCGGTGGATTGACAACTAGTGGTCAATTTGTAACACCCAGCTGAACTGAATCAGCGTGGTTCTGAGTGTGGAAGGCCCACGCGAGGGTTGTTGCCAGCAGCATAAGAAGAGAGCTGGAGGGGAAGATGGTGCGCTGTTAATTCTCCTGGAGAAGCTTGTCACGCTGGCTTTCCTGATGTGAATTCGGCTGTCCTGATCATCAGAGGAGCTCGGGTCCTCACTGTTGCCGAGGATGGCTGTGGTTCTCTTTGGGGCAGCTTTCGTCCTTACTTTGATTATCGCTTCCTGGCTCCAGTGCAGATCCCTCAGCTGCTGGCACAGATCCTTCATCCCGCTGGTGCAGACTTTCTACCTTCCATCACTGACCTTTGGGCCTTCCCAGCGCAGATCCTTGGTACACACCTGCATGAGACACTGTTGTGGGCTCTAGGCCTCCAGCTGGACTCGTGGGGAACATTGACATGGGCTCTAGGTGTTTAGCTGGACTCACGCAGGACATTGCCATGGGACCTAGGTCCTCAGCTGGTTTCTTGGGTCTCTAGTGTGTGGACAGATTTCCTGCACTCTTGTATTTGACTCTTTGGGTGATTACTATAAAGTAATCCTATAAATTATGTGTCCTATATTAAATTGTTTCCCTTGCAAACCCTGACTACACAGTAGGCAAGCGCTCTACCACGGAGCTACATCCCCAGCCCTGGAAGATGTATTCTTGCCTGCTCTATGAAGATGATTAGGTATCTGTTAACCACCCTCTCTCAAATACACACTTAGTTCCCGCCAAGGTTATACTTGTGATTGTCAGATGGAGTATTTTAAATAAAAGCAGGAAAACTGTCTAAGGAATTTATAAAGAACATCAACTGTTAAGACACTGAAGAAACAGCGAGTCTGGTTCTGTATCACACAGGGAGTTGCATGGTCACACAAAACGAAGAATCTCAGAGAGTAAAGTCACAAAAGCAGCCACATCTGTCTCCTCTGAAGACCACAGCATAATGTGGCGCTGCAGTAGAGCTTTTGTAAGGACAGGAATACGGAGACGGGGGAGGAGACACACGCTCCAGATGCCGAAGACCCTGTCAGAGTGACGGTGCTGGTTAGCCAGATCCAGGGCTTCACTTTCCTCCCGTTCTTTATCTGTGGAATGAAGCATGTTCTCTTTGAGACTGCAAGATGTATACTCTTTGGGAAAAAGGTTTTTTTCGGGGGTGGTGATGTTGGGGATTGAATTCTTTTTTTTGTTGTTTTTTTGGTTTTTTCCGGTACCGGGAATGAAACTCACGACATCACGCGAATTCTTGTATGCTAGGCAAATGCTCTACCACGGAACTACACCCTCAGCCCTTCCTGGGCAACTTTAAAAAAAAAAAAAAAAAAAAAAAAAAAAAGAGCATCTATTTCTGAAATTCCCATCGACTCAGAGCTTCTAGTCTCTTTAATCGCAGACAAACCTTATTTGTGATGATGAGAGGAGCAATCTCAAAGAGTAGCCAACCTAAAGTTAATTTATATTTGGTCTTAGGATATGCCCTAGATTCTGTATTTGAGTGTGACTTTGAAGAATGAACTAGTTAAGAATTTCTGATATTTCAAAAAATAAGCTGAAGTCAGCATGAGCTCCCGCGTTGTCCCAGGTGGGTGTGGGGCTCATGCCTGTAATCCTAGCACTCTGGGAACTTTAGTGACTTGGTGAGATTTTGTCTCAAAATAAAAAATTTAAAGGGGCTAAGGGTATAGCTCAGTATGAAGCCCTAGGTTCAATTCCTAGTATCACAAAAAAGAAAGTAGTCCCAGATTTCCCATAATTATTAAATTCCAGAGACTCGTGGGAATAATATAAAGCACCACCTAAATTGAACACGGACAGCACCTCTCCACCACGCCTTCCTCAGCTGAGAACTAAACAGGACAGAAAAATATACAAGAGGCATATGTCGTAAGATCATTGAAGATTTTCCCAGATATAGTATTTTTTTTTTCCTTGTCTTTTTGAGACAGGGTCTCACTATGCAGTTCAGGCTGGCCTTGAGCTCACTTTGTAGCCCAGGCTGGTCTCAAACTCAACACAATCCTCCTGCCTCAGCCTTCCAAGTGCTGGGATTACAGGCATGCACCAGCAGTCCCAGATACAGTATTATATCTGAATTGATAAATTCCAAATAGAATGAAACCAGCTGGGTGGAAAACTCACTTCCTTTGCCCAAACACAAGCCTATTCAAGTTCATACAAGTTCATAATATTCACAGGCTAAAGGACAAGTCCATCTTCTTAGCAGTCTGACTCTTGGAAGGCTGAGGAGAAAACCTCCCAAACAAGAATTCCTGAAGGAGCTGGGCATGGTGGCGCATGCCTATAATCCCAGCACTCGGGAAGATCAGTATGAGTTCGAGACCAGCCTGGGCTACAAAGTGAGCTCAAGGCCAGCCTGAACTGCAGTCTGCATTGTCTCAAAAAGACCAAAAAAAAAAAAAAAAAAAAGAAATTCCTGAAGGAGAAATCCCATTTTCAGCTTTCACTCAAGCGACATAAGCAGCCAAAGGAAAGGAAAACGGAGGTTTATTTCTCCACTGACATCCCTGACAGAGGAACACACTATGTCTTACTGTGAAGTGGAAAATGCTAGAAGCACGTCTCATACAGTGCCATTTCTCTCTGGATTTCCTAATCACTCTTCCTCAGAGTGGACAACTGACATTCCAATGCCTTTAGTAACTAACTCATACTGAAAATGTGAGTTACGAATTCCAATAGACACTTGAGTCTTCTAAGTCAGCTGCTGATAAACATGAACAAAAATTATTTTCTCTTAAGAGCTGCTATATTTTTAACATCTTTATTGAGATATAATTTGTACACTGTTCACTCATTAAAAATACACAAATTAGAAAAAGCTGAGAAAACTTAGATTTTGGGGTTGTTATGGTTTGTGCCTGGATGTCCCCCCAGAGCCTCATGCAGTCATGGGGCAGGCTTCTAGAGTTTACGGTAGATTCAGGGTCCAGTGTTGGAATTATAGGTGTGAGTGCTACATCCGCCCTGGGGCAGATAGTTTGCATATAATGTAAG